TTATTTTTAATAAATAAAATAAAACAAACATATTATTTAACAGTTACATGCAGTTGAATTTCTCTTTTAAATTCTGACGCTATAATTGCTGAAGTTTTATTTTTCTCGAGCTATGTTTCTCCTATACGGACTCGTCAAGGCTTCACCTCTCTCGATACATTTTATAATTTCAAGATATTACTTTTATAATTTTCTCGAAAGTTTAATGTTAACCCGTCATTAAATATCTAATTAAATATTATTACCAGGGCACCTCCACTTTTTGGAATTTCCGTTTTGGGTTTTAGAGTTTTTCCCTGAAGTATCGATTTTTTTGTTATTTTTATGTTTTAAAAATATTTAAAAAATTATTATTATTAATTTTAAATTAATATATTTTTAGTATTTTTAAATTATTTTGATGTACTGAAATAAAAAATAATTTATAAAAAAATAAAAAAATTATTAATATATATTTCAATATAAAAATTATTTGAAAAACAATTTCAACCATTCTAATATTCTCCTAACTTTCAAAATAATTTTTTAAAACTAAAAAGATAGTGTTAAGGTTTAAATACTGGTAGCATTGATGAGTCCACAAGATTCTCACATGTTGCTAGATGGGAAGAGTATTTAGTATTTGTTATATAATATATTTTTTAAAATATTTTTTATTTATTATATAAACATATCAAATTTATTAAAAAATAATATATAAATTAATTTAATATTTTTAAAAAATAAATATACTTTTTTAAAAACACCTAAAAATAGAAGTTATTAAACTCACAAACAGACCGTGCTCCGTATCCTCTTGTAACTCTGGTATAAGCTATTTTGAACTAACTCTCAACCAGAATATCGTCCGAGAGTAAGTTTTAATTTGTTTATTGTCAAAATTTAATTATTTTTTATTTTAAATTATTATTTTTATTATTTTTATATCAAAATTAATTTTTAAAAAATTAAAAAATATTATTTTAATATTTTCCCAAACAAAAAATATTTTTAAAAACAATCACCATCATATTTCAAAAAATTCAATCAATTACTCAACCGGGCTCCCTATCCTCTGGTAACTTTGGTATAGCTGTTTTGAATTATCTTTCAGCTAGAATCCAATGAATTACTCGACTTCTCTTTGTGCTCCCGTGAAATTTGAACTTGGAGTCGTGCTTGTGCTCGGTTGCTGAACGGTGTAGGGACCACATGAGCTTCTCCTTCTTTTTTTTTATTGTATCGAGAGTGTCAAAAACAGTGTTCGATGGGGAAAGTAACAATTACCCAAATAAAATAAGGCATGATTACATTGATTTTTTAAAATAGATGGGTTGTAATCTTGCTACTATTGGTGGGCAGGGACGCTCAGAGACAGTGAGAGATGAATAATACTCTTAGATTACCTGTCCCTATTACAATATATCTCGAGACTAAAAAAATGAGACAGCATGATTAAACGTCAAATTAGAAAGATAATTATTGAAGCTTGTATTGTGGGTTAGCAATATACCAAACCGAACAGCTCATCTAATCTAATCTAATCTAATCCATTACAAAACAACCTTCATGGTTTTTGGTCCCTTTCCTCTCCTGGATTTTCTCTAACCTGCCCTATTCAAACCGGAATTGCTCCGAACCCACACTCTCATTAACGCGATGAACACCGGCAACGTCCGTATCAAGCTTGGGAGCATTTTAAAAAAAAAAACTCGGACCAGGTGATATATTAGTTTATTTTCCACGGCTATATAGCTTGGACCAACAGCTTCTAGAATGTAAAAAACTAATATTGAAGATTGTCAAAAATATTTTGGTATCGTCATTGATAAATGTGATACAATAGGTCAAAATAAATTAATTGTATGAAAGTTACATAATATGACCTTGTCAATTAATTAAGCTTGAAAAAAACAAAATCAAAGGGAAAAAAAAAGAGATAAGGTTCATTTTATTCAAACTATCAAATTCATGATACAATTTATAAAATTTATTGGATCAAATGATTTTTTATTCAAAGATAAAAAACAAATTTATCATAAATTTAATATTAAAAAATAAAAATTACCCTACATTAAATAATAATTTCTCTCTCTAAAAAACCCCAATGCAAGCTCATGAAAAAACCCAGAGGTCCGTGACACCGAAGCTTGTGCACTTGGACTCAAAGACCGTTATTTTATCCTTTAAAATAGTCTAAAAGAATTTTATTGCTGCCAGCAAAATTTGAATCCGCGCGTTTTAATTAGTTGAACTACAATATATAAAGTCGTTGTAAAATAATATCGTCTGTCCCTTTTTTTTAATATATATATATGTGTGTGTGTGATAAGTCGTTAGTTGCTTGAAAAGATTTTATTGTTGCCGGCGAGAATCATATCCACGTCCTTGGCCTCCTCCTTTCATACTTTAACCAACTAATCCATGCATGAAACTGTCATAAAACAAATAAAGATATATATCAACTCAATTGACTGCTTATATCTATAAGTAAATTGACACTCGGTGTTTATAGTATGTTTGGTTATTCTCATACGAGGTATTTTTTAAGAAATGTTTTTATAATGCCTTAAAATATTTTTTATTTTGATATTAATATACTAAAACCATGAAATATTTTTTTAAAAAAACATCAATTTGATAATTTTTTAAGCTAAGTATATTTTTAAAATAAACCTAATCACAATTTCAAATGAAAAAAAAGTCACCTCTTAGACAGTATTTTTTTTTACAGTGTAACTGTATTTAAAAAAAATATTTTTAATGTTTGAAATTGTTTTTTAATAATATAAAAATATTATTTTAATATATATTATTTAAAAAATATCTTGTATCGCAATTTCGCGAAATTTATAATTTTACGTGGTGTCGTGGGACCGAATGCCTTCAACTACGGTGCCGTGAAAGTACTGACACCAGAGCCGTTTATATATGTGGGCCCATCAGCAATTATTTGATCAGTGTACCAGAGCTAACGAGGTTGAACTTTTAACCACAAATTAAAAAAAGAAAGAAAGAAACTCGGTTCATTTAAAAGCACTGTCATGTACGGCATGATTGATTTTGATTTGTAACCTCAAAAAAAAATAAAAATAATAATAATTGATGTTCGCAGCTTAGAATTCTCAAAAGATTCTACCGCATAACTTGTTAATTTAAAAAATATGTTGTTTAATTATGCAACATTATCAACTAACAAAGACCTTGAAAACTTGTATTTGCTTATTCTCTCGACACTGGAAGGATGGTTGCGTTGTCTCGAATTAGAAAACAATTTAAATTGGCTTCCACTCGTGCTTTAGCTAGATTAATCAAGTTTAACAATATGAACTCTCACTTGATTTAATAGAAAACCTGGCTTGTATTGGATTTTTTATCATGATAAGTTATCGAATTGGTATGTCAGGCCATACATGGTTTAATTTTGCAATGTTATTGATTAACAAAGACCTTGAAAACTTGTATTTACTTCTTCTTTCGGCACCGAAGGAAGGTTTGTTATATTGATTTCCCAGCAATCAATATTAATATATATATTAATATATATATATATATAAAGGAAAAAATAAAAAAAAATGTATTGGACGTGGACTCGAGAGTTGTTATAAATCGAATCACGATATTGAATTATAAACTAACGTTGTAGTGAGGGGAGAAGCCAAAGGTGTCACTTGTTGACGGCAAGTGCACGTTAAATGCTATAAATAGGAAATCTCTAGAATTTTCATGCAATCATTAACGCCATTGTGTTAATTATCGAGGGGTTGAAAACACAATATCTTTTTTAATACGTGACAGCTTAAATAAAATTTTAAAACGTAAAATCTACTCCAAAATACTCGCCGGACCGCCGCGATAATTCACAACCCCAACACGCCGCTTCCTGGATAAACACAAGAATCGACAACACGAGTAGTTAAATTTATTACCAGTACATTTTATTTCACCACTATTCCCTCCCAGTTCCGGTCATGGGCCGCCGTCACCTCGTCCACCGAGTAGTTAAATAAAATTACTCGCACAGTGTCATTTTCGCTGTTCTCTCTCTCTCTCTCTATATATATATATAAAAGTGAGATCGCAACAAGACCGATGTTTTTATTTCGGGTTTGTTTGGCATTAATTGTTTTTTATATTTTTATGGTTGTGATATGGTAAGGTTAAAAATAAAAAAATATTATTTTTATATATTTTTAATTAAAAAATATTTTTTAAAAATATATTATAACACAATACATGATGCGCATAAAATTTGCAACTTTTTAAAGGTTATTGCTCCAAAAAAATAATAAAAAATTATTATTCCTGAACAACATGTTTGAAATTTTTTAAATTAAATTAAAATTTTAAAAATAAAAAATAAATAAATCAACGCTAACCTATCTCATTTACCACACTAAAAAAGAAAAATTATCTACCAATCTCTTTTCTAAAGACGTTAAAAAATAAAGATAAAAATGAAAAAAGTAATATGAAAAACAAAATAAAATAATTTTTTAAAAATATGTAATTTTTATTTATTAATTAATTAAATTTAAATTAATTATCATAATAAAATTTAATATTATAGTTAATTGATTCTAGTATGATAATAGTTAAATTTTGATACGAGAAGTTGATTTAAAAAATTCAAGATAGAAGTTTGATTCTCAAGTTTTTTTTCTGTTAAAATATTAAAAAACAAACTCAATTCATTTTATTATAGAAAATTACTTAAAAATGGTGCCAAATACATTTTTTTTTGTCTTTATTTATATCTTTAGTAAAAATATTTTTATTTTTTTTAAACTTCTTCTTTTTACCTGGGAACACCAGCCAAACATCACCTGACTAGGTAAATATTATTTTTTTCAGAAATAAATAACATTATTTTTATAATTAAACAACCCACACTTGCTTTTTAGGATAAATCTTTAAACCAGATCGATAACAATAATTTAATTAGTAATTAATGAATATAAAAATTGAAAAAAAAAACAACGATACTATTATATCAACTATACCCACCCCTACCTAATCCATTTGATTTTCAAGCATCTCTTTCTCTCTCCATCTTTTCTCCTTTTCTTCCTCCCCTCTCTCTCTTCACTGTCACAGTTTTTCCTCTTTTGTGTATAAAGCTTCAATTTCAAGCCAGTTCAAATGGTCTTCCTCCTCCTCTTGCATTCAACAGCACCACATCGTTTTTGAATCAGTCCATAAAAAGGAAAAAAACCAAACACCCTTCTACTCTACTCCTCGTCTTTTTTCTTTTGTCCAGCGTACTACTATTGACCATTCAAAATCTTAGTATCGAATTATAATCAGAATAAAATTTTATTCTCTCTTTGATTCCATCAAAATTAAATACTATCCTTGCTTTTTATTGTCTGAATGGCTGAAATGCGGATTAGCCAGCGGTTTTTCGGGCGGATCGGGAAATCGCCGGTGATTTGATGGAATCCACACTGTTTTGTTGTACAGTTTTAGACATTTCATGGAGGGTTTTATAAACAAGTTTAGTTCATGCTCGGTGACTAGAGTTGACAGCAAGTTCAGGTTCACACTCATTGTTTTCGAGGTATGCTGTTCCTTTTCTTTTTGGTAAATATTAATGCTGTCTTCTTGTTTGCCTTTTCTTCTGTGAAATGTAGGATTTAGGGTTTTAGTTCACCGGCTTTGTTTGTTTACTGAAAATTCGAGGGAAAAGAGAGGAAATTTCTGGGTTTTATTACTGAACTGTAACCCTTAAGTGATTGCCAGATGCCAAAAATTTTGTTTTCTAGTTTAGAGTTTTTTTTCCTCCAGTCGCTTTCCTTGTTTTCCCTTTTGTTTGCGGAAAACACTTTTCTGAAACTGTTCACCGTTACCTGATTTTCTTTGGACATAATCTTCTTTATAGAATTTGGATTGCTTAGCCTGTACGAATAAGCTGGGTCGGTTAAGGGTTCGAGGATTTTCAAGTAAAAAGTATTGTAATTAGCTGCTTTATTAGTTTGAGCTAAAGCTTAATTGAGCTCATGGATTTCAAAGCTTGGGTCTTTGTTCTGGTATTTGTTACCCTGAATTTGGAGTTGCAAGATCTGTTGATTCTTTTTTTTTTGGCCAGTTTTTGTTGCAAATTTTCGCGTTTTAATATTATTACTATCTGTGTTTGAAATTGGAAGCTTTCTGTTCATGTTCATACCTGTCAGATTTACTTGTTTGTGTTTGGTAAGTAATTTCAATAATATGTGCTTTGTTATTGACTTTGAAACAGATTGCTTTGATACTGTTATGCTTTCAAGCTATAAATGCTGAAAGTCATGGCTGGCAATTGCAAGGGCAAAGCGCAGAAAGGGGAAGTGAAAATATTGTATCACATTCATGCATTCATGACCAGATAATTGAAGAGAGGAAACGACCTGGTCGCCTGGTGTACTCTGTTACGCCACAGGTTTATGGTCAGTCTGGTAACTCTGAACCCCTTAATGGCAAAGGTAGGGCATTGCTTGGAATCTCAGAATCATCGTTACAGCAAAAAGGTGTAAAGAAACCAATTAGGATATTTTTGAATTATGATGCTGTCGGTCACTCTCCTGATAGAGATTGTCAGAAAGTTGGTGATATTGTGAAGGTGGGTGTCATAACTGATTTAGTAAGCTCAGTTAAGTGCACTACTTTCAGCTGTGGAAGTAATATTGTCTGTTCTTTGTTTCTTGTCAGCTTGGGGAGCCTCCAGTGGCTTCTCTTCCTGGCACTCCTTGCAATCCCCATGGCGATCCTCCAATTTATGGTGATTGCTGGTACAATTGCACTGCTGATGATATTTCTGGGGAGGACAAAAGGCATCGTCTTCGCAAGGTTAGCCATTATAAAATTAATTTGAGACGTCTAATCTGTGAAGCACGTTTTGAGATGACTATTAAAACTTCATGAGGCATGAAACTGTAATTTGCATTTCTATCAGCAAAAAAGCTTGATAAAGCTGAAGAACTTATTTTGGTGAAGGCTCTAGGGCAGACAGCTGATTGGTTTAGGGGAGCATTGGCTGTTGAGCCTGTAAAGGGTAACTTGCGGTTGAGTGGATATTCTGCATGTGGGCAAGATGGAGGCGTACAACTTCCACATGGATACGTTGAAGGTATCATCATTTCAGTTGCCCTTTTGCTCAGTGATCTACTCAGATTGCTGTTCCGGCTTTTGTGGCACTTGTTGAATTTTTGAGGCAATTTTCATATTTGTTTAAATTGTTCACAGAGGGTGTTGCTGATGCGGACTTGGTTCTATTGGTGACTACAAGACCTACCACTGGCAACACTCTTGCATGGGCAGTGGCATGTGAACGTGATCAATGGGGTCGTGCAATTGCTGGTAATTTTTTAGTTCTGCAATTTTTTGCATTGAGCAATATCTCCCTGTTCGCGTGATAAATATTCTGAGCTGTTCATTTCTTTTGCAGGACATGTGAATGTTGCCCCTCGCCATTTGACAGCTGAAGCAGAGACTTTACTTTCTGCAACCCTCATTCATGAGGTGATTTGATAATTAAATTAACAAGATTGGCAACCGGTGGAATGATCTATCTTTACCGACTAACATGTCTAATCTTGTCCAGGTGATGCATGTCCTTGGTTTTGATCCTCATGCCTTTGCCCATTTCAGGGATGACAGAAAGAGAAGGCGCAGTAAGGTAGATAGCAAATATACTGTTGGATCAATTCTTAAAACTTTGCAAGGGAACTATTTATGTTTTCTTCCATAAAAATGTTATTTTGGTATATTTGTGTTCTTTCAAGGGAATTTCACATCTACAGTAAGCTCACATTGCATGTTGCCTTTTCAGGTCACTGAACAACTCATGGATGAAAAGCTTGGTCGGATGGTAACACGTGTAGTTCTTCCCCGTGTTGTCATGCACTCACGACATCATTATGGGGTAAGTGCTGTGCAGCTTACCAGTTTTCCAAGGAAATGCTTGCATCGTCAAAATACTCTCCTTTCCGATTATCACAACCCAAAAGACAACAAAGGTTTGATAAGTTTTCCTTCTAGCAGGCATTTTCTGAAAATTTTACAGGTTTAGAGCTTGAAGATGGGGGAGGACGTGGCACATCAGGTATTCTTTTTATATTCTGTGAATGCTTTTCAATTTCAACCAGTGTTTACTTTTTATATTTAATTTCGCTATAAATAGATTGTAGACATCTTGGTTGTCTTTGAAGCACTTGCATCAACACCTATCTCTGAAAATCAATCTGCAGTAAATGACAGGATGTTAATTTAGGGAAACAGAAATACTGAATGAATGACATGTGGAAAATGTTTATTCCAGTTTGAGGAGCAATAATCTATTGTCACTGACGCGTGCCATATTCTAGCTAAAAATGTGGTAATTCTTAGCAATTTAGTGATTGTTAGTTATCATTGAACTTGGCTGCAGGGTCACATTGGGAAAAGAGGCTTCTGATGAACGAGATAATGACAGGATCTGTGGATACAAGATCGGTAGTTTCAAAAATGACACTAGCTCTATTGGAGGATAGTGGTTGGTACCAAGCTAACTATAGCATGGCAGATCATCTTGATTGGGGTCGAAATCAAGGAACTGATTTTCTTACTTCCCCTTGCAACCTCTGGAAGGGGGCATATCATTGCAACACAACCCAGTTGTCAGGCTGTACATACAACAGGGAGGCAGAGGGTTATTGCCCAATTGTAAGTTACAGTGGAGATCTCCCCCAGTGGGCTCGCTACTTCCCGCAGGCAAATAAAGGTTTGTTCTTGAGCTAGCTATTTCTAGCACTTTATTTATGCTCCGTGTTCAAATTCTGCTAGTCTATGAATATGCAGTGATAAAATTTCCTGCACTTATATATGTTATTGTAAATTGATGTTTTTTGGAGGTCAAATATTTTTAACCCCCGTCTTCTTTTTCTTTCCTATATAAATTGGAATGGCAGTCTGTCCTTCAAGATTCTCACATCAAACTAAGCCTAGATTTCATGTCGTGGCTGTGATTAATCGTTGAGATCCAGGAGATCTTCTCCTTAACCACATGTTTCTCCCATTATTCCATATTTCATTTCAGATCCTCATTTAGTGGCTTCAACTTATGGAGACTTTGCTTTGATTCAAAATCTTGTCAAGATAATGTTTTTTTTTCCTCGATTATTTCTACACAAATCTTTGGGTGTCATAAGCTGCTTGTAACAGCTGGCCATGCTTCAACATATATGCATTTGAACAAGGCTGTGATTGTTTCAATAAATCAATATCCTTAAGCAGGTGGGATTGGTCCTTAATTTGATAATTTGTTTTACTTTCTTTAATTGGTCGTCACAGGTGGGCAGTCCTCACTGGCTGACTACTGTACTTATTTTGTGGCATACTCTGATGGATCCTGTACAGACTCTAATAGTGCAAGAGAGCCCGATAGAATGTTAGGTGAAATGCGAGGAAGTAGTTCCAGGTGAGATTTTAGATTAGGGCCTTTTCTAGGGTCTAGTTGAAGAGTTTAAGCAACAATATACTGATGATCTGTTTTACAAATGCATGTAGGTGTATGACCTCATCATTAGTACGTTCTGGTTTTGTCCGGGGCTCAGTGACCCAAGGAAATGGTTGTTATCAGCACAGATGTGTCAATAACTCTCTTGAGGTATGCATTAGAGCTCGGATACAGTTAATATTTTCCTGCATGCCATGCTGTAGTTTAATAGATGCTAGTGTGATCTGTTCAGTTGTCTTTGGAAGCTTCTGAGCTTCTAACTTTAGATATAAACTGTAATTTTCTCAACAAATTTTGAGTTTTTGAGAGGGCTGAAAAGATGAGTTAATGAAATATGTGCAATTGTGTAAGCTGTTATCGACTTGTGATGATTTGGAGATTTGCAAGTATTTAATCTCTGTTCCTATGACCTACGAACTTTCAAGTTTTCCTAAATTTTCCAGAAAATAACATTTGTGTCGAGGAATTCAGTCACAGGGTTTAGCAAACTTTAATTATGGAGGTGTGTGGGTCTGTAGGGTGTCCATTGAACATAACTATCCATCCAATTTCCTTCTTGGACATGGAATAAGGCACCAGATTGCACAACACGAGCTTCTTGCCTCTTGCATGGCGCTGTTGTTTACTGAGGGGATGGTCTGAACGAGACTTGAATGTCTACTTTTAGGATTTTGAAAATAATTGGTACTTTTGTGCTGCTACTAAAAAGCATGGTGTGTTTTTCAATGTAATTCTGATTGCCCTCCTTTTAGGTTGCTGTGGATGGTATTTGGAAAGCGTGTCCAGAAGCTGGAGGACCAGTTCAATTCCCTGGATTTAACGGTAGTTGTTTGTTTTTAAGCTGATTGATCACATTGAATTGCGAAGCCTATTCATCCTTGTATTTTCTGTTGTTTTGTTCTTGCCTGTAGGGGAGCTTATTTGTCCTGCTTACCATGAGCTCTGCAGTACAGGTTCCATTTCTGCACCTGGACAGTGCCCCAGTTCTTGTGATTTTAATGGAGACTGTGTAGATGGAAAGTGTCACTGTTTTGTAGGATTTCATGGTCATGATTGTAGTAAACGTAAGCTCCTATAAAGGTTTCAATATACCAGTTTGAATCAGTGGATAGGAATCTTGGTTTCATTGACTTCTATCTTTTGCAGGCTCCTGTCCAGGGAATTGCAATGGCCAGGGCAAGTGCCTTTCAAATGGGATCTGTCAATGTGAAAATGGTTACACTGGCATTGACTGCTCAACTGGTGATGTGATCTTTCTCGGAGGAGCCTGATACTGTTCCTTCCAAGTATTATCTTTCTAATTTTGCTCTTTGCTATGATATGCAGCTGTTTGTGATGAACAATGCAGCCTACATGGTGGGGTCTGTGACAACGGAGTTTGTGAATTCCGTTGCTCAGACTATGCAGGCTACACATGTCTGAACACCTCAACTCTGCTGTCCAGTCTTTCAGTTTGCAAAAATGTACTGGGGAGTGACAGCCAACACTGCGCACCCAGTGAATCAAGCATACTTCAGCAGTTAGAAGAAGTTGTTGTCATGCCCAACTATCACCGATTGTTCCCAGGTGGTGCTCGGAAATTATTTAATATCTTTGGCAACAGTTACTGTGATGCAGCTGCCAAGCGACTAGCCTGCTGGGTAAGTCACCCACCTCTTTTTTATCAATCTCCTTCCCATCAATTTGTAAAATATTTGTCATGCATCATGATGATATATTGCATGGGCTAAAATTTGTCCACATGAATGACTAGATCTCTATCCAAAAGTGTGACATGGATGGTGACAACAGGCTCCGGGTATGTCATTCAGCATGTCAGTCCTATAATTTAGCTTGTGGAGCATCACTTGACTGCTCGGACCAAACCCTCTTTAGCAGTGAGGGGGAAGGGGAGGGTCAATGCACGGGCTCTGGTGAGATGAAAGTATCATGGTTTAGTCGTCTGCGGAGTAGTTTGTTTTCAAGTAATACTTCGTCCAGAGGAATGTCTGTAAAATATAGGCAGCTGTAGTCTATTTCCCCCTAGATTTTTTCTTAATTTTTCTAGGGCTCAATTGTAGGAAAGGTGGCACGAAGAGCACGTGCCCTGGATGTAGGTTTGGTCTTGTGCTTCACCCTCGTTTAAAGAAATTGGGTGGCATTAGCATTGGCTTTCGTAAATGAAGCCGCTTGTAGAGAAATTTGGAATTGTATGTAGAAAGAAACAACAAAAAAGAAAAAAAAAAAAAAAAAGAGAAGGTAAAAACCTTTGTTGACGAGTGATTAGAGGATTGGCCGAAGGCCTTTATAGAAAAGCATTGTCTACTTTGTATCTTCCCCCAATTTTTTCTCTATAGTCTTCCAAAGTGTCACCTAATGTTCAGTCGGATACAGGGTTTTGAAAGTTTACGCGTCAGATGAAAATGGTGGTTATGCCAATCGAACCTTTACCTTAAATAACACGTTGCCTGCCTGTAACCTGCTTTCTTGATCTGAACTCGGTGGATTCTTTGTCCGTTTGGCTAGCAATACGGTTCTGATTTGTGAAACTTCAAGTTTTATGATGCATTCTGTTGACAGTCAGGAGACCCGTCTACCTTCACTATTGAAGCTCTACCAGTAATCTAGAATTTTTCCATTTCGGAGATCAAAATGCTTCAGAAACTCGGTTCTTGCTTCCACTGCTGGAGAGTCTTATGGTGGTATTTGTGGATTTGGTTGTGAGGTAGAAGTTGTTTTTTTTATTGTTGTTGTATAAAAACTACACAGTAGCAAATTCTTCTAAAATGTAATCCAAGCAGGCAGTCTGGTGATTGGTCTTTGTGATTCCAGAAGGTTAAACAAATCTGCAGACGAAAAACCGTCTGTGCTCTCTTAAGATTGCCCTGATACGCTTGTTCGTAAATCACACCTTATTCGTTTGAAGAGAAAGGAACGTACGGTGGCCCGCCAATACAAGCTCTAACCGTACACAAGCCTTGGATTCGTACTAGACTTCTCAATACTCGTTCAAATGCTATAGCTAATCCTTGTTTAGTTTGTTTTCAGGCTATTTGCACTATCTAGGCACTCTTGTAGCTTGTTCCCTTCTTTCTTTTGCTTTGTAGCGGGGACTGTCTCTCTTTGAATATATATATATATATAAAAGGGTTTGGGTGCGTTTATGGTTCTTGTTTAGCTGGGTTTTGGTGACTGACTATGAAATCATGGGCTAATGGCTTGAACTATAGGCTTTTTAAGTAGAACCGATTAGCCTCCTACAGGCTTTTTAGCAGTTTTCACCATAGTTATTAAACACTAATGAACTCAAATTTCAAGTGATCATTTGAGGTGGTTTTCTTTTAAATTGTTTTGAATATTGACTATGCTAATAACAAATAATTTAATGGGTTAGACAATGACTTATTTGACCTTGTCAAACATCTCGGTCAAGATCTAGTCAGGTAAATTTTAATAAAAAAATTTATTAATTGAATTTGAATGGTGTTGAGCACTTCTATTCCAACCAGAGAAGCCAGCCTTGAGCCAAAGCAACCTTTAGAACATTTAAGAAAACTATAATACTAACACATAATATTATCAACAAATTAATTATAACAACCAATAATACAAGAAAGAAAAATGCTAAATATGAGAAAAATGCTTGCTTGCAAATGTATGAATTCCCACATAGAAATAGATCTATAGATAAGATTGTATTCTTCATAAAATAATCATCTACCAAGAAACATGACAGGAAATTATCCAGAACCACTCGGACAAAATGTGATCAAGTAATCAGACCCCGTGCAAGTACAAGTACTTGAGGCATCATCATAAGCATAACTATATGCTGTCGGGCAAGCAGTTTTGAACATCACCGAGTATTGCGTTGGCGAGCAAGTCTGTGGCGTGGCATGATCTGCAGTACAGCAAAACTCGGGGGCGTTAAAGGCTGCGCAAGCACTCTTGCAAGCAACTGTAGAGCCAGAATCCACGACTCGGAGCTCCGCGGGGCAGTTCCCATTAAGATCCGTAACACAACCCGCATATTGACAATCACCGGAGCCACCCAATGCCTTAACGCCTAAGCCAACATTGTAACCATCCACGAGACTAACATCATAAAAGTCCTTGTCATTACGGTTTGTCCCAATAGTAAATTCCACAAGACTGACGGGAGGAGCACCACCACCTATACAGTTTAGAATGCCACCACAGTCACCAGTGACGCACTTTCCACTGCCTGATTCATCAAATACGCACCCAGTTCTGGCCCAAAATCGGCCTGACCAACCGGGTGGAGCCTGCAACTGGATTGAGGCACCAGGGGCCAACGTAAAACCACCATCACCTAGAGTGGCAGCTCCATTCCCAGAGAGAGTTCCTGGCCATAAGGTGTAGCTGCACTGGTTTTGGAGAGTAAACACTGTGGCATTACCAACGTTGCCTGCAAGAAATCAGCCATAGACATGTGGAGATCAGTTCTTGTAAATACGGCAACTTCTATATATATATATATATATATATATGTAATCATCTTTTAGTTAATTACAACTTGGAATGGTTAATCTAATAACCACAATATCAATCAAGAATCCAAGATTTTTGTATCACTGACAATCTCTAGATACATGCATATATATGATCTTTCAACATGATTTTTTTTCTTCAAAAAACAAGACTCTAGTCCCAACATGGAGATGTCATGAGTTATTTGAGAGCTAATGCTTTACCTGTTACGAAGAGAAGGAGCAGAAGATAACACAAAGAGATTGAGGAAATCGCCATTGGTTTCTGAGAGGAAAGAAGAAGATGGGGATGAAGAGAACAGACAGTTGGGTGTAAATATAGAAAATACTAATGGGAAGGTTAGAGTGGTTGTAGTTGGGATCGTGGAAGTTATTGTAGAAGGCTTTGAATTTATATCTGTGTCCATAACCTTATCTTTCTGAGCTGAAAATTTTAATTCGTCCCAATCTTTCCGTGATTAAATTTCAAGATTTTAGGTTCTTTTCCTCGTCGATGGCATGTTTTATTATTACCCAATCAAAGTACTAATTTAGATTTGATTGCCTTTTCTGTTTCGTCCTTTCTTTTCGTGCCTCGATTTCAAGATTTTAGGTTCTTTTCCCCATTGATGGCATGTGCTATTATTACCCAATCAAAGTACTAATTTAGATTTGATTGAATTTTCTATTTCGCCCTTTCTTTTCGTGACTTCACATTATGATTTTTTTTTTGTTTTTGTTTTTGGAGAAACTCTGTGTGTGAACTAGTTGTGTAATGTAATGCTATAAAAAAAGATATGGTATGGTTTCTGTTTTTTTTTTTTCTTTCTAGATTGACTCATCAACATGCGATCCAAACCTTAAACTGGATTGTGGAGTACATTAGATCTCTTAACTATGCTTCCTATTTAATAGTTAAATTTCCATAATTAGTTTTTTTCCAGCAATAATTATATACGTAAAAAAAGGATTGTTTCCCACTCGATCGTGCTCTCTAAATTTACGTGATATACATAATAAGATTCTAATTAGATCATACTCCACGTATTCATAATTACATTTGCAGTAATGTAGTTAGTTGCATGGCTAGTGTTTTTCCCCAGTAAGACCGCCCTTTTCTTTTTGAGATCATGGTCTAACGTGGGGTTATGGGTACTTTCTTGGTAGAACTGATTCTCGATCTGCTGAAGCTTTTAACTAATTAACATCCATGCCGAGCAATTCATGAATAAATAAATAAATCCATGTTGAGTCAAGGATGAATGAATAAATAAATAAATAAATAAATCCATGTTGAGTCAAGGGATCAACCAGGTGCATGCAATATGGTTTGATGAGAAATTAAATTGTTAGACAACTCATTGATCAATCTGACAGCAAAATATATGGTCCCGAAGAAATTAAATTGTTAGACGACTCATTGATCAATCTGACAGCAAAATATATAGTCCCTAAGAAATAGAAATAGAAATAGAAATAGAAATTACTTCGGAACAGAACTTAGATTTAAAGAATTTGCAGAATCAAACACTAATTACAAAGTACTAGGCACAACTCAAATTGTTTTATTTTAATGAATCTATGTTTTGTTATTGGCATGCTAAGTTACAATTTTTATTTTTTTGACAAATAAAAACCTGTTTGTTTTCGTGGTGGAAAAATGCTTTTAAAAAATTTATTTTTTTATTTTAAATTATTAAATTTTAAGTATTTTTATATTATTTTGATATATATTATTTTTTTGACAAATAAAAACCTATTTGTTTTCGGGGTAGAAAAATGCTTTTAAAAAAATTAATTTTTTTATTTTAAATTATTAAATTTTGAGTATTTTTATATTATTTTGATATACAGATGTTAAAATAAATTTTATAAAATAAAAATATTAAATTTTGAGTATTTTTATATTATTTTGATGTACTGATATTAAAATAAATTTTATAAAATAAAAATATATCATTTTATTATATTTCAAAGCAAAAACGTTTTAAATACCAATTATAATATCAAATAAACTTTGGACGTACAGTCAAATTGCTTTTTGTTTTTTTTAAAAAAGGTAAAAGATATCCATAGTCAACTTGCTTGCCTGCTTTGAATGAATAGAAGTGATTTGCCTCTTCTATGCGTCTAGTTCTTGCAGTTTATGCTAATTTCACGTCATCCACTTCTTATTCAGCCGAAGGAGCTAGGGCCTTGCTCCATTACGACATAATCAAAGCACACGAACAATGAAGCTAGCTAGAGCTACTAATTGACTGGAAAGAAGAAAATGTTCACTGGCAATAAGGGAAGCTTGACTGGTAACGGGTCTCGAAGCGGGGCAGTTGAAAAATGATTCAGAAAATAAGAAACCATTGCTTTGGCTGAAGCTGAAAGAGTATCGAGTCACATGAGAACCTGGTATCGCCCCCTAGACAAAAAGAATCAGATCATAAATATTTGGCTCGTTTTGAACATCGAAGCATAAAAATTGCTGTAGGTTAACCCTTCACGTGGCAAACAGCAGCACTACTTCCCACTCTCACACGTCCTAAGGCCAAGGCAGTTAACAGGCATGTGCTAGCTTCCACTTCATCCCAGGAACAAGCTCACTAAATCCTCCCTCCCCATATTTTATTCAAGCTCTGCTAGATTATTTACCAACTTCATATATATAAAAAAAAATTGAAAATGAGTTTTGATTGAAAAAACAAGAATGACAACGTAAAATAAAATGTCTATGGATGGTCCCAGCTGAGGATTGAAACACTATCGTCTATACTAGAAATTACTTTGACAATTAGTGTATAAACTAACCTCTTTTATTATCTTTGATTCAATGTTCACACTCAATTTGTAGTTTTCATGTTCTAAATATGCTTGGAGCTCGAATCTCGTCATTGTAACACGACTCCATCAATCAGTGACAATCAAGTACAAGCCGGTATCGATCTTCATCATCACTCAATGTCCACTTTCCTTTCACAAGATATGGTCAGCAATAAATCTCTCCTCCTTTTCCCTAAAACGTAATGGTAAAAAACCTGCACGTGGTAGCTTGAATGGAATGAACTATCTTGTCGGCTAAGAGATCAGAAAGCCTTTCAGTTCACACAACATCAATGTAATGTTTGCTTGCTTGTTTTAACACAAAGACACAACAACACGTAACCTTGTGTCACATACTAGCTATTTCATCACACGATAGATCTTTGTCCACCAAAAACGTGTATCCACTGCTTAATCAGGCAAACAATTGTATTTTTAAAATGATTTTGGTATTTGATCTATTTACTAGAGAGCTTCAGCTATAAGTCTAAAGCAGGAAAAAAGACAGCCTATGCATGAACTAATATGATGTGGTTAGTTAGAGAGAAGATGGCTCATCACCTAACAGGTTAGAAATTCTTGTTGAAAGGCGCGTCGCATCACAGTTTCATATGAAACCTAACACTCGGACACAAATTTTATATGGTTGAAATAGTTCCAACCAAATGTTTCGAATGTACCAGATATTGATTTGTCATTCAGGTGAATCTGATGACTCTGAACCATTTCCCTTCTCTTTTTGCTTACTTCTGTTGACAAGATCAAATGTTGTTGATCTACAAATGACAAAAGGCATATCGACTACAACTGTTTTTATCATGTATAGCGATGGCATCTAGGACCCTTTTTTTTGGAATGTTTTCATGTCTATTCAATACGCTGATGGTAAGGAATTGACAAATTGGGGTAAGGGGTAGAAGATGAGTAGAGAAACGGTAAGCAGAAGATAAGGTCAGGCAATGCAGCATTGAATCGTCATGCTAACACAGGCATCCTAAGCTGTGCCCCCTTGCTTCTCTATTGAAGCAAATCCTAGTAATGTCACCTTTTTTTTCCCATTTTAGTTCAACAATCAATGGATTGAATTGCACAACAAAATACTTATCTTCTCTAGGCTTCAAACCCTCCAGTGCAAATCAGTTTATCTTTCCTTTTGCCAAACCCCAAACAGATCTCTTTCAAAAGAAACAGCAATTCATCTAAAAGTTTGGAAATGGTGTGCTTGGCAGGACACGACGGCATCAGGGGAAAAAAAAAAAAGCGCACTCAGAGAGAGAGAGAGAGAGATTAGATGGGCTGGGCTGGAGAGGTCAGGGCTTCGCTAATTCTCACTGGACCTGGGTGAAAGACAGCATACCTAGTATTGGACTAGACAAGACTTGAATCCACATCTTGCGTGTGGATCTAAGATAGCCCAATTCCAGCCCACGAATCCGATGTACTGGTGATTCTCTATAGCACAGAAGCTGCAAGCTAGCAACTTGCTCGCAACTTCGCAGTAGGATGGTTGTCACCGAGATGAGATCCTATTCTGAGAACTCTAATGCAGAAAGCGAGTATGAGACAAGACAGGGAACGTAACCTGACTGAGAACTGACACCTAGGAAGTAGAGAGAGAACCTGAGTTTATGAAATCAAGTTACACAGCCCACAAAAGCACTAGCGAGCTGACTCTTAGTGAGAACTTGAGCGGATAGGGCTGATTCTTTACAGCACGGAAGTGCAAGCTAGCATAGAAGAACTTGAGAGCTGGCTCTTGGTGGGGACTAGAGCTGACAGCTAACCCAGCCTAATAGCAAAGGTTGCTATACTCCATCTTAACATTTTACATCGCATAACACCATGGTTTTCAGGGCATTCAAGTGATGAAGCATTTCTATGCTTCATGTCAAAACATTTTGGCGGTAAACTTGCATTCTTTAAAACCTAGGCAACAAATAGTTCTGTCATGGTGCTCAAATAATATATAAGAACAGTATACTGAAATAGAACATTTGATCATATTGCTTCTATGTTCACAAGAGACCTTAACTGTAAGTCTGACCATCTTCTATAGCAAAACTATTAATTTCTTTCACTAAGCAATGCTATATCAAATTCGTAATGGGTAATGGCCGGAATTTAAAGTGAGTAGCTGAAGCAAGGTAGGCACATGCTAAACTCGCATATGTTTTGAACCAAACGGATGAAAAAAATGTAAGATAAATGAACAATGCAGTCAATAAAATTACCACAGTGAAATTTACCAAGCATTTCAGTGTAGAAAGTTCTTGTTCAGTTCCTTCATTAGGGAAATGGCCTCGAGCTTTGAAGTCTAAAAGTAATTGATCCTTGAGCTGGAACCTATCCATTAACCATGTAGCAGCCTCGGCATCAGAAGCTGGGATATCCTTAACAGGGATACGCCGGACATGAATGTGAACTTCTGAAGGATCTGTCCCAAATACGTTGTCCAGAAAGGTAGGCAATTGGTGCTTATATGCGATACTGACATCATAAACTGCAGCATAGGAAACATGATTAAGTATATAGTAACTTGCAGAAGGAGCCACAAAAAGAGAGGAAAAAACTGAATTCTTATCAAGCAATAAAAATCATGATGTTGGGATGAACTTAATAGAATTCCAGAACTGATGAGGTAACATTTAGCAGCAGTGATGCATTGATAGTGAGACGGGCTGCTTTTTAAAACAGTATGGAATCAAATCAAATACCCACACACACACACACACACATATATATATATTCTTGAGAGAGTGTAAGCCACACATTATATTATCAAAAGCATAAGACCACCGCACTGACAGGGAAAAAAATTATTTGAAAAGAACCTGCATCCAAGGAATTCTGTAGAACTTCAAAGCATACGCCGAAACCCCTTGTTTTGGGAAGTAGAACATTTGCCAGCACAGGAAGTCCAACTTCACTGGCAAACTTTTGGCTCTTCTGGCATTTCTCTTCACTGCCAAATATTCAAAAAAGGGAGATCCCACCAATTACTCTATGTAAGATATCTGATTTTAGTAGCCAAATATCTTTGATAAAAATTAAGCTTAATGTTACGAGTAAATATGCCTGCATAAAGAATACATAGGAGATTAAAGTACCTAAAATCAGTTCCTTCAGGGAAAAGTACTAGCCACAAAGGATCTCGAGAATCCATGAAAGTAGAAAGCATTTGACGCATGGCAGGCTCATCAACTTCCCACTTCCTCTCAACTGAAATGAACTCCAAAATATGGAATCCCCAACCAAAGACAGGTAGTTTCATCAAGCTGCTCTTGAGAATGTACTTGATGTAGCCCAGACACCCCTTCCGCAATGCCAGATCCCACAAGTACATCCAATCAACCTCAGTTCTGTGATTAGCAATTATCAAAACACGTTCTTTTGGAGGAACAAAATCTCCAGAAAATACAACTTTGGTCCCATTTATCTTTTCAAATAGAAAGGGCCACAAAGCTAGCCAAAGAGCAAAGAGGAAGGATGTTGCTTTTCTACAATAGTGTATGCTGAAAAATCGCATCAAGACAGCTGCAACAGGTGCAAAATACACTACAAACATAAAAGCAGTAGAAAGATACACCAACAAACATATAAGACCCCTTATCAACCTAAAAGGAGTTAACGGGTAATGCTTTATTCTATCATCGGATTTGAGAGGCTTGAAAGTTTCTTCCATCTCCTTTCCAGATTCAATAGCAACCACCTCCTCCAATGCCAGCTGCAATACAATGTGCCTGAAGAATCATTTGAGATATTCCTCAGCATCAATATTTTACAAAGAACAAGCTAAAAATCCAAATGAGAACAAAATATACAAAAAAAATGCACGAGCACATAATACGATGCTGCTAATCATTGTCAAACAGCCAACTGGAATTGAAAAATGAACACAAGAACTCCAGTTCACAGGTCAATCCATGGTAAAGTCACAAACAAGATTGCATGCTTTCTTCAATAAAAACCTTCTCGTGTGAATAAACCATGGCTACTGAGGCTCTTGAATTTCAGTGAAACAGAAATTCATGTGCTGCCGCAAAAATGCCAGTTCCTCAACTAAAACATACAGTCCCATGGCGTGTGTGTGTGTGTGTGGGGGGGGGGGGGGGGGGTGGGGGTTGGGTTTGTGCTTAAAACCATCAAGTTTCAGTTACGATAACCAAGCTCCCTCAGCAGGAAATTGATCCTTAATCTAGTAATCACAAATTTGGGTGGTGCACCCATCCTTTCCCCAAAAAATGGAAGACTTAATGCGATTCAGCCCCACCGTGTGAGGATTTCATAGAAATAAAGGTTGCTATACAACAAATAATGTTTGACTCTAAACATCCTAAGTAGTAATTGCCTACAATTCCCACTGTATGACATTCATAAGTTGATCTCGGCCATCAAGCTATAGTCCTTCAATTAAAACTACAATTAGCTTGGAAAATTATATTAACAATTCCAGTGCAAGAGATTCTATCCAGTCCTGATTTTCATAAACAACACAATTGCCTTCTTGGTTAAGCGAAGCAAGCGCCTACTCATTCTCTGAACCTCAAAACCGATAGATTCACATTCCTAAGACTAAGACAATATCGTTCATAATTAAACTGGAACCTAAACATCAAAAATCATAAATTCCATCAATTCAAACACGAAGACACCCCATTCTAAGCGTAAATAGTTCGAATCTGAAAGAGCAGCATAAAATTAAGAAAACGATCTGTGAATTGAAGTAAGACTGAATTGAACGATGAGTTACCTGGTCTCTGGATAGAGAGAGAGAGAGAGTCCAAGAGTTTTAAGTTCAAAGACTCAGTTATTTTTTGTTTTTGTTATTTAGATGGAAGACTGAGCTGTTATCGAGAAGAAGATAACAAGCAGAGCAGCGCACGCGAAACAGAGAGGGCAAAGCCAATAAAATAGGAAGAATTTTGGCATCTAGATTCATAAAGATCGGCCAGGGGACTTAATCCCACCGCATCGCATCAGTTTATTTAAAGATGCGTTCGGTATTTTTAAAGTAATTTTTATTTTAAAATAATATTTTATTTTAAAAAAATTTATTTTTACTATTAAGAAGATTTAAAAATATAAAAATAAATAAATTTTATACAACCCATGTTTGGAACTCAATATTAAATAAGGTTTGTTAAAAAATATGATAGAATTTAAGGATATTAATTACAATTTATTTTTATGCACAAATCTCACTTATAAAAGTTAGATTTTCTTCTTATAATGTTTTTTTTAATGTGTTTCACATATTAATTTTAACCGAATTCTTAAAACACACTTTAAATAATTATTAATTTTATTATACTCAATTCAATTTAATGCTAGGTCAGATGTCAATTTATATTAATTTTTTTCAAAAAAATTATTTAAAAAAAGTTAAATTAGGTAGATCTGATTACAATGATTAATTTTATAATATTTAATATTTAATTAGTAACATCGTATTAGCTTTAAAAAAAATAGAATAACTAGAAGATAAAAATTCTAGTAAGATATATTTTTATTATTTTTATCTTTATGATTGTCTATCTTTTTCTTGAGATAAATTTCAGATGATAACTGATAAAATATTATTCATCATTTCATAAATAAAATTAATTATGAACATAGTACTCAGCAGCTAGTATTCCAGCTCCAGCAGTTCGTTTTGGAACATAAAAAAAAAAAAAAAAAGTGTCGGGGGTTAATTACCAACCAAAGAGCTTGCGTGGTAATTGAATTGTCCGGAGGCAGATATTTGTGTTTCTGTTGCTAACCAGGTTTCTAGAAACGGCAACGAGTCAACTAAGCATGCTGTATTTTATGGACCATTTATCTTATGGCTCCGAATTTCGGTTTGTGTAATTGTACGGATGGTCAGGCAGCTGCCAGAGATTTCCTGATTCCTCCTCCGATTTGCTTCCAGGACGGGCTTCATTTGAAGTGGCTAATCCCATAGGTTACGAGTCCCTGCCAACTGATTGCTTTTTATTTTAAAATTGTATTTTTAATACCAGCATATTACATTATAAAAATAAAAATACCAAGAACAAAGAAAAATAGAAAATGAAGGGAATGATAATGAATAAATAAACAAGGGAGCTTCGGAAGGATCGAAAATGAAACGAAAGAAGTGTTTTGTGAAGGTAAATAAAGGAGAAATATAGTGATAGATAAATTATGTGGTTTTTACAGCTAAATATGACTATACAGCTCAGCAGATTTATGCAGCAGATACGGTGTTAGTAAATTATACCACATGCTTAAATGAATCTTCAGTCTCGAGGTGAGTAAAACTGTTGGGTTCGAGCTTTTCTTCCCATTTCATGTTCGTATCGATCTTTCCAAGGTAGTATTTTCCTCGATCTTTACAGACAAGAAAAAAAATAATCTAGAAACCTCCTCTTTTCTTGTTTGAATTCTCCTGACACGATGCAAGTTGGGAGTATTTTTGTAATTCAGCACTTAACAAAATAACAAAATACTAAAAATATATAGAAGAGTAGAAGAATTCAAAGAGTCGCTTATGATATATTTAGACTCGTGATTCTTTTGGCTACTAAAAATAAACTAACACAGTTTATAATAATAATAAAAAAGATAAACACGGAAATAAAAAGGAAGACTCTAAAAATATATCGAGACTCCGTTAATGTTATCCCTAATTTCTTTGTATTTATCTTGTAGTTTATAACAGCATCAATAATATTATTATTAGAATTTTGATATTTTTATCCTTTGTATTATTATTAGAATTTTGATATTTTTATTTTTTTTTCTTTCCTATATTTTCAAGAGTTGCAAGAGACAATAAAGATAAAAAACTTTGCACGCTTGTCAAAGCTACAATAATAATATAATAATCTTATTAAAAAAATATTATTGGGATATATTTAAAGATATCATAAAAGATTATTAATGGTGATTAAAGTGTACAGCATATTTAAATTACTTGTGATTTTGTAAGGGTAAACAAATTCTAATATATTTTCAAGTCATGTAAGGGTAAACAAATTCTAATATATTTAAATTACTTATATGTTCTACTCTAATTATTATTATTTGTGATTTTTGTATGTTATTGAATTCATCTTATTGATATCTTTTCAATGATACTAATGATGTTGTTCAATGATACTAATGATGTTGTTGTAAGAATTTTGATGTGTTTTCATAGTTTTTTTATCTTTTTAATTTTATTTTTTTATAAATCATATTAATCTATTTTTAGAATTTAAAAGAGTTACAAATAACAATTATAACTTATAAATCTCATTTATTATATGTGATTTTCTTTATTTTTTTATGTGTTTTTTTCTATCGGATTGTTTTACCTAATTTTTATTTTTTTTAAGGTGCCAAAAACCAAATAAAAAAAAACGCTGCAGGTCGCTTGGTCAGATTAAAGAATGATGTATACGGACGAAGTTTGGAGAAGATTTTTATAGATTTTAGGCCCTTTTCATATCTAATTAATGGGTTTGGAGAACCGTGAGGAAGAGGTTGGTTGGTAATCTATGGTATTAAAGGGATTTTTTAATATTTAAGCAAGTAAAAATATAGGATAAATGCAAGCTTTTATAAATAGAGACATGAATGCAAGAGAACATAGTATTGTTTTTAGAATTGACAATCTGTGTGTTTAGGATAAAGGTGTGCTAATACGTGATTTGCTCTTTTTTTTACGAGATAGAAAAAATAAAAAAAAGCATGTAAAACTTATTTTTGATGATGGCTTTTTATATATTAAAGGGACTGTAAATTAAAAGAAGAAGTCAACACAGCAATCACACCAATCTCTCAAATATCCTAATTTATGGACAATTTTATGAGATATTAACCCGTAATGATGGTTGCTTTTAATTTAAGATAAAAATCTTGCCATGTTAATATCTTGCCAAGTATAAGCATGACAACCACTATCGTGCGAGACCATTCACCAGGCTAGGCTTACCGGGTGCTAGATCCAAGCAGAGTTTTTTATTTGAAAGAATGGTTATGATTATTTTTTAAATTAATTTTTATATTAGAATATATAATAATGATATTTTTTAATTTTTTAAAATTTATTTTAATATTAAAACATTAAAATAATTTAAAAATACTGAAAATAAATTAATTTGAAATAAATAAAAAATAAATATTTTTATTTTTAAAAAAATATTTTTAAAATGAACAAACAAATAGATGTAAAGTCTCTTGGGTAAATTGGGCCTTCAAGAAAGGAATACTATTTGGGCCTCTTCGACTCTACTTGGGGTTTATGCTTTCCTCATGGGCTCTGCCATTTCCCTATCCGGGCGTGGAAGTCCTGGATGTAGAGGTTGACCATCTTAATATCGGGCCCAATACCGGGCTCATGCGTGTGCATAGCTTGGGCTCAAAAAAAGATGGCAGGCGTGGGCTTGTCATGCACATTGTTCTGTCACATTTCATCTACCGTTCGATTTAAGTTAAAAAGGTCACATAAAATTCAAAATCATCTATGCATTTCGTCCTATGTGAAAATGCATTCCAAACGAAAGTTTACAAAACTTTTTTTTCTTAAAATTTATTTTTTAAAGTTTTTTTAATAGTTTTGATGTCAGAAATTAATTTTAAAAATAAAAAATATATATTATTTTAATATATTTCTAAAAAAAAAACATCTTAAAAAAATCATTACAACACATCTAAGCTGTCTCTTAGTGTGAAATCACGATGATTTTTTTTAGTTTTCTAATCGACACCTCATTGTGAAAGCAATAGATTTCAGTCATGGAATCACCATTCGAGAACCGGAAGAATGGCACCTAAGTTGGGTCAGTTGTGGCTAACACCTGGTCATTTTCTACTGTGCTCCCGTGAGGACAAAGCTTGACATGGACCACAGCAATTTCTAAAGCAAGATCGAGAAGCTGGACTTTGAACTTGTCTAGGACATAAGAAGCTTCCTTGCATTTGGAAACGATAAAGCATCTGATGGGTTGTTCAAGGGATTGAATAAAGAAAGGGACATCACCATTGAACAAAAAATAGCTTCTAGAGGGGATAGCCGGATAGGGTTAGACAAGTCTTGCTTTTTCCATGGCCGACCAATTGAAATAGCCGACCTTGCTCGAATCACAACTCTCCTCTTTTCTCTGCAACTAAAAAGTAACAACTAGACTAAATAGAAGTAAGCAATTACAAGAAAAGGCCTCTAACATGAATCCGTTCACGTACACTTTAGTACAACACGATTACACTTTGTCTGAATAATCAGAGAACAAATAAGCAATAACTCAAGAAGTGAAACAAGAAATTATTAGAAAAAAAAGAGAGAGAAGCAACAAGTAAGCTAATGGGAGACTCGTTAATCTCAATCCATCAACTACCCTTACTGTCCTGCTTCTCCAAGCCAGAATGCAAATGCCTTGAAGAACCCGTAAGTTCACTCAAGGAATCGCCCTTTCTCCTGTACGAATACATCTTCAGATAAAACTTCAAAAACAACAACAAAATCACAGCATTCAGCATAGAATTAAACCCCCAAGCTCCAATTCCATTGCACCCTCCTTTCAATATATGCAACGAAAGCACCCCAAAATGGCAAACCAAATTGCAACCCAACAACACAACCTGACAACTCACTACAAAAGGGAAACAAGCACTTGGAAGCCCAATTGCTGTCCAAAACCGGTACCCATAAACGACAGAGTACAACAACGTTGTTAAAAGGATAGCCAAGACTTGAAAAGACTGAGAAAATTCAAGCCAAAGAAATGACGTGAACAAAAGTATGGATTGATTGAACAAGGTAAAGAAAGTGAGTTTACGGTGTTCGAGGACTGTTAAAAAAGTACGTAATAAATGAAGGAATCGAGAGAGGTAGAATATGTAGGACCAGAAGAAGACGCGGCCAGAGGGTCGGGTGCCGAGAGGGAAACAGAGGAGCCATTGGAAAACCGTGGTGGTCTTGGTGCGCCGCCAGAACCAGCGCGTGTCACGAATCTCAGCAGCGGTTGAAAGAAGAATGCC